CCCCCCCCCCCCCCCCCCCGTGCAGAGCAGGCAAGGCGACTGCCCTTGCCCCGGACTGCTGCCGCCCTGCCCCAGCCCCCCCGGCACCCACTTGATCTTCTGCTGCATGGCGGCTGTGGCGCGGTGGCCCTGCTTCAGCTTCTCGTACTCCTTGTAGCTGCGGTAGTATTGCTGGATCAGGACCGCGGCCCGGCGGCTCTGCTGGAACTTCTTTTGCTCGTAGTAGCTGCGGAACTTGCTCTGGATCAAGATGGCCGCTTGGGTCATCTTCTTGTAGAGCGCGTACTGTGCCGGGGAGGAGAGGAGGAGCTGGCCCAGCCCATGCGCGCAGGGTCTTTCCACCTCCACAGGGTGGACAGCCCACCCCCCAAGGGGCTCCCCAGGATTACTCTGCTGAAATCTGGCACAAATGTCCCAATTCGGGAGCCCTGGGGGCTTTTCTCAGGGGGGTAAGGGTAGGATGGGGAGAGGTTCCCTGCCCCATCGCCACCCTTTCAAGAAAACACCACAAAGCCAAAACATCTGGCTCTGCTCCTTCCACTTGGCTCCCAGGGGCCTCCCGCACCCCCTCCAGCTGCCCCCTCCTTCAGCTGCAGTGGAGATGCCCCTTCCAGGGGTCACGCGAGCCCTCCCCAGAGCCCCCTCCATTTCAAAGCCTGTTCTTTCTCAGGGGATGGGGACAGAAACTCCTCTCCTCTCTCCCCACTCTGCCCCCAGCTCCTCCGCTTGCAGAGCTTCTCCGACTGGCCATGCGCGCCTTCCCCTGCCTGCCGGGGTGGCCCCCGGGACGCCTGCGCAACAGCCCCACTTCCCCGCATTACCTTCAGGGCAATCCAGGTGAGCTTGTAAGGCAGAGAGAGAGAGCAGGTTAGTTGGCAGGGGGGTGCTTGCAAGTACGGGAGGAGCCTCCCAAGAGGCTGGGAGCAGCTGGACTGCCCGCCCGAGAAAGACCTTGCCCGCAACGGGGCCCTACCTGCTTGTACTTCCGGTAGCACCGCTGGATGACGGCCGCTGCCAGTTCCTGCTGTTCCTTCAGCCGACGGCCCTGGAGACCACCAGGAGGGTCAGCCCTCGCTCTGCACTCCCCCATCAAGGCTTCTCCCCACCTCCCAACAGGGGCTCTCGTGGCAGCCTGGACCTCCAGCCCCCTTGCCTCCGTCAGCATGAAAGGAGAGGAGGGACGCGCACCCAGAGAGCGGGGAACTACCAACCCAAAGGGCCCTTGGCCGCCTTGCCCGGGCCCAGCCCTGCAGGGACGGGCGGGTTTGCCCACCCGAGAGGCCGGAGACACACCTTGTACTTGCGGAAGGCGGTCTGGATGATCTTGGCGGCTTCGTACAGCTCCCGCTGCTCGTGGTCCGAGAGGGTCAGCGAGGCGAACTCGTTCTCCATCTTGCTGTTGCCCGAGGCGTTGAAGAACTCCGCCCAGCTGGCCGCGGTGGGGGGCGGAGGGAGGCGCTCGAAGGACAGGTCGCCCAGGGGGGCATGCAGGGGGCTGAGGCAGGACCGACCGGGGGGAGAGGCAGCCAGGGCACTGGAAGACAGGAAGGGGGGCAGGATGAGCCCCTCTTCGCCAAAGCTCGCAGCCCCTCCACAGAAGGGAGCCCCCGTACCGTCGCTGGGGGGGGGTTGGCAGCTGGTCCACGTTCTCCAGGTAGCTGGCCAGCCAGGACATGGTCTCGTTCAGGCCCACGTTCCCGGACCGCTCGCGGAGGGGAGCCTCGGCAGGGCCAAAGGCCTCCTGCTTGATGCGTTCTGGCGTGGCCTCAATGATCTGCTTGGCCAGGGCGATCACATCCACCTGTGGGGTGGGCAGCAAAGGGGGGTCAGCGCCAGGATGCCGGATGCCCCGCGTCTGAAAGCTCCAGCCAGGCCTTCCTTCTGGAGGCTGATGCAGCCGCCCATATCACTAAGCGCAACCCCGAGGGGCTCGTCAAACGATCAAAACGTCCCAAACCCGTCACAATAAGTCCCTGTGCCCCGGGGCAGGGCTCCACTCTCCCACACGCTCCACCTCTCACAGCCTCACCCTGCCCCAGCGCGTGTGGGAAGAGCCAGCTCAAGCCCTTCCAGAGAGCTGGGGGGCACCGTGGGACTGCAGGGGGAAGGAGTTCCGCGGGGCAAGGTGTGCTTCCGAGGTCCCCCGATGACAGCTTTTAAGGGAAGGCACCCAGAGCGTGCCCACCTACCAATCTGGTGGGACAGGCAGCTACCCTCGGGGAGCGGTGGTCCCACAAACAACCTGGCCCATGCTCTGGGGGCTGGAAAGATGGCAACCAGTCCTTGAGTCACTTCCTGTCTGGGTCCCAAAGGGCCTGGCGCTGCCCAAAGCAACTCTGCCCCTTTTCTAGGGATTCCTGGGACAGATCAATCTGTTTCGTCCCAAAGCCATTCTAGTTCTAACACTCCTCCCCTGGCAGTGGAGCCTTTCAGCCAGAAACCGGGAGGAGGAGGAGGGGGAGAACCGGGCATCATTTCCCTGCACTGCCGGGCCTCAACCAGAGCCTGACCCGCCACCCCTGAGACTCTGACCAGGTTTTCCCGCATGGCCACCACCAGAGGCACGGGGGCTGCTGGGTGAGGAGGCAGCGGAGTTACCCCTGGGACCGCCTGGGGAACGGACGCTTTGGGAGGGGGTCAGCGACTCTCCCCTCCGGGCAGCCGGACCTGCAGGACGTCTGTGGCTGGCAGCTGCTCCTCGTTCTCGGCGTTCTCCCCGTAGGCTAGCAACTCCGGCTCCAGCTCGGCATCGGGGCCTCCTGGGGGGCCTGCGATCCCCCCCTCGCTGTAGCTCATAAAGAAGGAGGCGGCGGGGAGGCTGGGCGGGCGGGCAGCTTCCTGCAAGTACCAGCCCTCCATGCTCCCGGGTGCCGGGCCCTGGCAGACATCCATGGCGCCCTCGCCTTCGGGGCTGTAGGCCGGCGACTCCCGCAGCGCGGAC